AATTTGATAGTATTTGTAATTTGTCAACCCTCTGGTAATACGTCAAGTTCTCAACGTCTGTTTTAAATCCCTATGGGAGACCTCTCTCGGAGAGAGTGGGTAAGAAGTTTATATATTCGTTCTGCAATTTAACTATTAGCTTCATTCGTCGTGGTTGATTTGCTTAAATTTTTATGGCTTTCACTTTATCATTGCTCCCTCTGGGTCTGAAAAACACCTTGATGTGATATTGTTTTTCTTTGAAGTAAGCGTTGAACTTGGGGTACAGACGTAGAGTTTATTCTCCACGCATAGCTACCTATTGAGGTGTTAAATTGTTAGTTTTCTCATTATTGTTCTCCTGTTTATTTCTTGGAACTATGGAGCTTGGTATAGCCTGGAATACAATATTCTCTTTGGTATTTGGTAAGAGTAGCATTGTTCTGATCAAGAAGAGTTGCATATTCTTGCTGGAGAAGAAACATTGAAGGAAGTTTAGGAAATAACTGCTTCTTGTTAAAGTAATTTTATCATTTGATGCTGGTTTGTTTTTGTTGCATATATCCTTCAATGAACTTGTTACTGGTTTGTATTTTATATTCTCGTTTTCATCTATTCGCTTGCATCAGGGTAGATGCATATGAATGCTTTGTTTCCCTTATGGGCTCATTTGGATGTCATATATGCAATGCTTTCATTTCCCTCTCATATGGTTTAATAGTGTTAGAAGTAGTTTCAGCCAACATTCCTGTAATAATAGGTGGATGAAGCAAAAACAAGTTCGATGAGCATGCACCGCCCTTGGCGAAGAAGGTTGTTTGCCAAGCCCAGTCTATGGTGCAGAAGGCATCGCAGGTAGCTCAGACCTTAGTGCAGGAAGCTCAAGTTGGTGGCCCAAATGCTGCCCTTCGTTATGCTTGTACACTATCCAAGCAGTTCGTTTTCAGCCAACTGGCATTGGTCATGTATGAAGTCAACCGTTGGCCGCCATTACATGCAGTTGCACAGATGGCTGTTCCCACTGCAGCTCACTTGGCCGAGAATTACAACAAAGTTTTTCAAGTATGGCTGCGAAGGGCTATACTATCTTTAGCTATTTCCCATTAGTTCCTATTAACAAAATGTCAAGGGATATAAGCAGCAGGCTGAGGCAGCCGCCACCCCCACAAAGGAGGGCGATGCAGCCACTTCAATTGAAAGTGAATCAGATGAGGTTCAGGAAGTTGTGACCTAGTGTGTGGGTTTGGCATAAAAACGTTAGTCTGCCTTAATTAGCTTTCTCAATGGTATGGATCAATGTTGTGCGAAGGATAATGGGCTGGTAACTTGTGTATAAATAGTGACTTTGTCGCGTCTAATACTCTCTTTCCTGTACATTTATGTGCATGGTTTTACTTTTTTTGTTGCAACTCTCAGAAGCATAGATATCTAGGTTAGATGTATTTAAAAAACAGCTTACCATTCCAGGAACACAAGAAAGTCAGCAGAGACAGAATCCAGGACTACCAAGTAACTATATGGGAGATGGTCCAGTGAACCTAGAAGGGGCTTAATTCAACCACGAAGTTATGTTGTCACAAGATGGTATTCCTTAAGCTGTAAGAGCTCGAGTCAAATTGACCAGTTTCAGCATCAGTTGAGGCCTCCACTAGGTGACATTCTCTCAAAGATCTTCACATGGGGGTGCGTGCGATTGTTCTTGAGAGAGTCCATGCCATGATACATTATCTAAGTGTATTATCTATATCACCAGCTACATAAGCTTCACTTTTGCAAAATAGAAATAAAATATCCTTTTGGTTTTTTTAAACAAAATTTTCTACTTTGTAAAATATACATATTTAAAAAACCATTGCCTAACGGTATATTAGTGCTTTTTCCCCCTTTTCTGGACAACCCATTAAATACTGAAATGAAAGTGTAAATTCAGTCCAGCATTAGATTCGATTACATTTTTGCATATAAAGCTGATCTCTGCCATACATAACTGAGGGCAGAGCATGTGTAGGGCAAAATAAACAGAATCAGTGAAAAGCTGAAAAACACCACCACTATCACATGAATGCTTACTAAATTAAATAAAATAAAAAAAAAAAAGGATTCGATATTCAGTTGCAGACATCTGCTCATCCGTCAAACTAAGATTTACTGATGCTTCATACCTTCCTGCATTTCGACATAAAACTAGTAGGATTTTGGAGTAAACTAGTAAGAATCCCTCGTGTACTGAAAAATGGTACACCTTGATCTTCTTTTCTTTTCTTTTCTTTTGCGAGCTAGATAGAAGTATATTTTCTCCGGTGACCACATTTTATGCAGACACAAAAAATGACAGAAATAAAAGAATCCAACAGGAACATACAGGAGAGCAACATCACAAGAACTCAAAAAAACTCTATGTAAGCAAACATAATTGAATAGAAATATCCATGCACATTAAAACACTGGTGATGTAGGACAGCATCGAATCGACAAAATCAGCATTGTTTTTGAGTTGTGAACAATAACCCGTGAACAATAAAAGCCTGTGAATAGTGCTGCAAACAAACAGTAAATTTGACTAGGAATCACTTCAGATTCCTTAGGCATCACACCTAGGGTTAAAATTGCATCACACAACTCCAAAACATATAATTGCAGAAATTTTTTATGGTCTCAATCCCACAAGCAAGAATGAACGTAAATGTCAATCTAATAATGAATGACAAATGTCACGTGAATATAGTGAGCTATACTAGGAATCCATTACTTTTCAAATTCCGACTCAACCAGGACAGCAGCAAATCAACATTGTTGTTTAGTTGTGAACAGTAACCCAACCAACTAAACCAAGACTTATGTTCCAATCATTTAGGGTCGGCTATATAAGTCTGTCTTTGCCATTCATTTCAGTCATGCGTTGTACGCTCTTTTAAGTTAGTTGTGAACAGTAACCCGTGAACAATAAAAGCCTGTGAATAATGCAGCAAACAGTAAATTTGACTGGGAATCACTCTGAAGGTTTAGGGTTAAAATTGCATCACACAACTCCAAATCATATATTTGCTGAAATTTTTGATTCTCAATCTCACATGCAAGAATGAACGTAAATGCCATGTTTTAATGTCAATCTAATAATGACAAAGTCATGTGAATATAGGGAGCCCTACTACGAATCCATTACTTTTTATATTGCCGACCCACCCATAACATCAAGACACTAATCAGATCCTTTTATCCACATTTTGACAGAGGTTAAAACCATCCTTTACTAGACAAGAACTTAAACATCTCAACGAAATAAGTTACATCTTGAAAGAGCGGATCGCAGTGGACAGTTTTGTTCATAAAACAAACGGTGCATGGCAGCTATAAGCCTTACATGCATGGGCTGCCCCATGCCCAAGCATGGCCAAAGTGGTCAACTAATAAAAAGTGTTCATGATGCTGTGCAATAAGTGATGACACTGATGATGAGATGCTGGCAAACCATAGAACCAACCTACAAATATAATTGCATCCTTACTCCAACCATCCCAAAACATACAGTCTATAGCACAATGTGTGCTCTTATTCAAGCCTAAAATTGATAGAAAAAATAAATTTCGATAGAGTTAGAGTAAGGAACATGACAACATCTATTTTGGATCTTAAGAGAGGAGGGGTTTCAAATCAAATAAACTTGTGCTGAGTACAATCAGATCAGTGTTAGGTAGAGATTCAAATTATTTAGCATTAATTTGATTTATGAAGTTCTACAATAATATTTCATGCTCTACGTAAGATCAGGTAATGTTTCGAAACCTTCTACCGCCTTCCACCATCAGGAAAGAATCTCTCGCTAAGATGTAGCCCTTTCCCCATCACAATTCATGTTATTATCCATCCAAGTCATCTCCAACTTTGAAGTAAATCTATCCAATTCGGTCTCATGTAAAGGGTAACATGCACAACATTTGTCCTTCAGCAACAATTTCACATGAAAAAGAAGCATACGGCAATGTCAAACTGGCCTACATAGAACTTGATTTCAGGATTACATTGTTTGATCTGCTCGTTCCACAATTCTTTAATTTTGGTGTGTTCGCATTTTTGTTCTCTCTAGACTTAATAATTCTCACTTGGCTTTTAGACAACGTTTTTACTCCTTATCTAGTGAGAAAACAACTGTGTCCCCACATGAACAGGTAGATAATCATGTATCATAAAACAGGAATAGAGAAAAATTGACAAACTATAAAATACTAATACATTGGTAGCCTGCAGTCACCAACTCCCTCACAACCTAAAACTCTCTAGCAGAACATGGATCACTCATTATTAATCCCTCGGGGAGATTCTTGGCCAGTTAAATCCCTAATTAAACAAGTTTACAATGTAGTGCTTCCAAATTACATGTGTACGGAAATATACACAGAACTTGTTAAAAAGAAAGTGCAACAATTACTGAATAAAACCTAACCTTGTAAACGAATACAGAAAGGTGTTAGAATACTTGTATAATCTTATAGTTCTCATGAGTTCCATGTTAAAAAGTTATTCCAACATCATGCCTGTATGAACACAAACATATTCCAGTTTATGGAATTAAAGTTGAACACAAAAATGCTAAGTTTATTTTGTCGAAGGCTACCACAAAATTTCAAGCTTATTCCAATAACCATAACATTCTAATAGCTCCAGAGAAATCCAGAATTAAATCCAAATTACATACACGAGTTAACATATTTCGAAATTTCAACAGGTTATTGTCAAACAATTATACCATATCCACAGATCACGATATGCATACAATCAAACACACATAACTGAATGAATGTAGAAATCATACGAATTCTAAGATTTCAAAATCACCAATTATTTAGAGATGGAAGGGTCGAAGGAGTCTTGAAGGAGGTGATCGTAGGGGTCGCGACGCCCGGGGACTTGGCTGATCTGAGCGTCCCAAAAGATCTGAGCATTGTGGCGCTCGAAGGTCCAGAAACCGTACGGACGGAGAGGATAGTTCCACATTGCATCTGTCCTTCAACGTGTACAAATGCTCTCTGAACTGTCGATCTCTCTCCTTTGGATCCTCCATCAACCTCAGTATCAAATTTTCGGCGAATTCCATTACAACATCTCCGACCATGAGAAGTAAAAAGCTTTGGTACAGAGTAGTCTAAGTACAAACTCAAATATCTACACAAATATTTTAAAAAAAATTCTTGTTCCCAAACTCTTTTTTTTTTTTTTCTGCCATTTGATAAAAAAAAAATTAAAACTTTTATATCTCTCAAGTCTCAACAAACGAATAATTCAAAAAAAATAAAATAAAAATGAATACGTATACAAAATTATATGGAAATAAAGAAATTACTGCAAAATTTTAAAATTGTTTCAATCCTTTATCATTTTTTATAAAATCAGATAAAGAAAAAAAATATAATTATTTTGACATGAGTCTGATTTGAAGAACACAAATTGTTTCAATCCTTTATCAGTTTTTATAAAATCAGATAAAGAAAAAAAATATAATTATTTTGACATGAGTCTGATTTGAAGAACACAAACATATACATTTTTAACAAAAATGAAAGATTGAAGAAATAAAATGACAAATTGTCTAAGTTTGTAGGTAATGAAGGCTTAAAATTTCAGAAAAAATCGGTATTTTGAAATTATATTACCGATAATATTTAACTTGAAGAAATCAAAGAAAAATTTGATGGGTAAGTGATGTAGATCGTATTAGAGAAGAATTAGAGATGAGAAGGGAAGAAGAAGGAGATGAGAAAAGAAGAAAAAGGAGATGAGAATAGAGAGAATTTTAGAAAGAAGATTCAATATCAATAATCAATAATCAAAGTCTACCAAAACAAATAACATATCTCCTATATATATATATATATATATATATATATATATATTAGGAGACTATAAATTCTAAAAAAAATAAATAGTCATAATGACACTAAACCCCTTAAAAGCATAATAACAAATAACTCTTAATCTTTATACCTATGCCCACTATAATGAAATATAATGTGATTCCTATCATTTCGTATTAGGGAAGAATTAGGGATGAGAAGGGAAGAAGAAAAAAAGAAGAAGCAGATGAGAATAGAGAGAATTTTAGAAAGAAAATTCAATATCAATAATCAATAATCAAAATCTACCAAATGTATATAATATATTCCCTTCACTTGAATTTATGATAGATCAAGTGAGAATAATCTAAGAAAAGTGTACCAAAATGAATCCAACTAGTATTCT